CTTTTCCACGACATTCTAATTTATTGAGATGCACCTGTAGTCATTTTTGCCTTTATCTCATAATTTTAATTTTCGCCAGTTTTGACTTTGTCATAATTTCAACTTGGCATGTCAATTCCTTAAAATGTATCTCATAATTGGCTTTTTTCATAATTTAGAGTTTGTCATCTCATGACTATCACTTAGTATGGCATACTTTCAACATTTAAAGTCATGAATTGCAGTTTTCATCTCAATAGTGTGACTTTTTAAGTCATAAGCATGACTTTTTTTCTTATTGTGCGCAAATGGGCTTCCGTAGTGAGTTCTTCTGTTAAAGTGTGTGATGTGTCAGTGTGAGGATGAAGAGGAGGAGAGATTGAGCAGGACTCCACGCAGAGGAAGATCCTCCAGAGCATCTGATGCTCCACAGAGAGAAACACGTAAGAGTCTCTGTTACACCTGCAGCGAGCCCCTCTCCTCTCACACTCCTGATCATCTGACCCTGTTTCTCTTCTTTCCCATAAGGCTCTGCTTCACAACCCAAGGAGGCGGAGTCAGTCGTGGAGGAGGAGCCAAAAGAGGTGCATTTGATTGTGTGTTTGGCTGATTCTTCAATTAGAGAAAAACATGATTTGAATAAAAAGTGCTTAAAAACTCTAAAGTTTACAAGATTAATTTGTCTCTTGTATTGAGTGTTTAAATGTTGGAGAATTTGTTGTTCAAGCCAGATTATTTAATTTAAACTCTACAATCAATTTATGAATTGCTTTAAAATCAGGGACATTCTGCTTTTCCTAAGATCGTAAAACAAGTCATAGTTTCAGTCAGTGTTATTTATGTGTAAATAACAAAGAATCGCTGTCCAGTACTGATGTCATCATCATCATCAGGCCAAACATTTTGAGTTTATGAAAATTGTATATTGATTTTTGATGGAAATAGTGTCAGAGCATTAATTTAGTATTTGACCATCACATTTTATATTTTCAGCAGGGCCGCAGGAATCGCCACTCCGCAGCTCAGACCAGAGACGCTCCTGCAGGTGACTGTTTGAATCTCACACACTCTTTCACACACACACACACACACACAGACTCACACACGCTCACACACTCTATCACACACTCGCACTCTCACACATGCTCGCACACACTCTCACACTCACTCACACACACTCACACTCTCTAACACACTCACACTTGCACACACTCACTCACACACGCTCGCACACTCACACGCTCGCTCACACTCTCACACACTCACTCTCTAACACACTCACACTTGCTCACACTCTCACACACTCACACACGCTCGCACACACTCACACACACTCACACTCTCGCACACACTCGCACACGCTCGCACACTCACACACGCTCGCGCACACACTCTCTCACACACACTCTCTCTCTCACACTCACACACACTCTCTCTCTCACACTCACACACACTCTCTCTCTCACACTCACACACACTCTCTCTCTCACACTCACACACACTCTCTCTCTCACACTCACACACACTCTCTCTCTCACACTCACACACACTCTCTCTCTCACACTCACACACACTCTCTCTCTCACACTCACACACACTCTCTCTCTCACACTCACACACACTCTCTCTCTCACACTCACACACACTCTCTCTCTCACACTCACACACACTCTCTCTCTCACACTCACACACACTCTCTCTCTCACACTCACACACACTCTCTCTCTCACACTCACACACACTCTCTCTCTCACACTCACACACACTCTCTCTCTCACACACACACTCTCACACACTCACTCTCTAACACACTCACACTTGCACACACTCACTCACACACGCTCGCACTCTCACACACACGCTCGCACTCTCGCACACTCTCACACCCACACGCTCGCACACTCTCTCTCACACACACTCACACTCTCTCACACACACTCACACTCTCTCACACACACTCTCACACACTCACTCACACACTCTCACACTCATATACATGCTCACATAGACATGCACTCAAACAATAACAAGTCATGTTTTCTCTAAAATTTTTTTTTTTTTTTCGTCAGACACCACTGATTTATGCAGTGATGAATACGGATGCACGATTAATCGAAATGAAATC